TGTTGTTCTTCTACTGGTTTAGTTTTCGAATATTTGGAAAATAGAGTTGTGTGGTTTATTTTCTGTCAAGATACTCGCAGAGGTTAGACTTATAATTCCTAATAATGACAAAATTGCATCAGTCTCGTGTGAAAAGAAAAATCTGTTTGTAAAGACATTGTTACAGGTCGATCCACTCTATTTTTAAACTTGTCCGTCTCCATTGCGTCAATTCGTTTTCTCTACACGACTTCTAAAAGTTGTATACATTTTCAGAGGTCACAAGCAGTGCATCTTACTTTGTTTGACTGCATATCCCACCAGAGAACGGCCGGATCTGCGAAGATAAATCAAGGTGGTTTGAAGTATTCTTCGATGGACTATTTAACTTTCAGTTTTCTATTAGTTGCGAGGATTAGATAAGTGGTCGGATTGTGTTTTATGCAGCCGGGGATATTAACTAGGATGGCGGGGGTTGGGGCTGGAGTTAATTGCAGAAATTAAAGTGTACGATCTGACCTTTATTAGTGTTATGGAACTAAAAGGATCACTTTTAAGCATTGTAAATCAAACCTCGTATCCAGAAATGGATTCCAGGTGCCATGTTGAAAACTTTTCGAACGTGCGAAACCTCACGGGACTGCCGTCATGTGAATACAAAAATAGTAAACTATGTAACATGTCCAAGCTTGCTGTAAATCTTGGAGGAAGTTGTTTGGATTAGTGGAAACAAGAGACGATCATCTCTTGGCGGAAATGTTTAATGTGTTTTCACTGCTCTCGATGAATGCATGATACCCTTTATAAGCAAGATGTCCGGCAAATTAATAAATAAGATCTCATGATCAGTAAATCCTCTTCAACACTTGAAAAGAAGGTTTAACTGTGCTTTGTTTATCTCTTGTCTTGTTCCAGTTTTTCCTTTTACTTCGTAAATTGGACTTGATAGAATAGTTTCAATCTGTACTGTTATTATTCCGTTTAGTGGGTCGCGTAAAATGCAAACGGCTAACTGGTGAGTAAAATCACCCTGATCTCAGGTCGACCAGACTAAAAGTACGCGTGTCTGTCAAACTGTTGTCAGGCTAAAGATCTGAAGCATTTCAGTTTGTGACAATTAATTGTTCGTGTCACTGCAGATGGCAGTGAGATATTTTTTTGTAGTTTTATTGGTCAACAGAAAGCTACACTTGCTGACAGCGCCATACAAGAAACTCGTCTGGCTCGCACTCAAAGTGATTTATCTCGACCGACCGTACCTGTTAACACATTTTATAGGTCCCGCGGTCGACACTACAAAGGAGGAATTTGAAAAAGTAACCCTATTTCTACAGTTAGGCCTACCGTCCACACTAATCCGTCACGAGAACGGAGCTTTTCGAAAATGCTCTTCAAACCGGAGGACGTGGACGAAAAACGTTTTGAAAACGAAGCTTTTCGAAAGCGATGGCGTCACTATAATCACGTTATTTCCCTTACCAAGTTTTCCTCAAACACAAATTTAAAATAACCTGTGATTGTTGCATTTTCAAATTCCTCCGGCTAGTGTGGACGAAAAACACTTGATGCGTTTTCAGAGTGAAATCTTCGTTTTCAGATTCCTCCGGCGTAGTGTGAACGGGGCCATAGTCAGCTAATTGCAAATTCCATAGTTCACGTGAAAGCCAATTTGTGTTCAAGTCTTTTGCACCATTAATTTTTTGGTCTGTTGGTCTGAGGTAATTTGGTTATGTGCTTGCAAGTCCGACTATAGGGATGATCAAACGCCGCAGATTTCTTATGCCGTAAAATGACTGATTTCGACGGGACTGGATGATATTTATATATTGGTAAAGACTCAGATCATGAACAGCGTGTAATGTTTATAATTATTCTTTATATGCCGAGAGCGGCGCCTTTTAATCAATACACAAACTATACGCATGGAGACCGACTTAAATTGTTATCATGTGCACGCGGCAAGAATTGACTGGATCATGGAGACACTTATTTGGAATAATCTGGCAACTAAAGCGGCGTTCATTTCAAACGATTACAATTGCTAATGTGTCAATGCTAATCAATGACATATCTTTTAGTGCGAACTATTATAGCAGCTTGATTGATCAGTGAATTATGTTGGGGCGAAATAAAGCCCAGACGAAAAGGGGGAGCAAGAGTACAGGAGGAGTCAGGGAGATGAAGGAGGGTCGACGAAATAAGCTAGCGGACGGTTCAAACGGAAAACTGCTTTCACGCTCGGCGCTGGCAGAAAAAGAGGGCGAGGGACTTTTAGAGCCTGCTCTGAGTCTTGTCTTACCCTTTACCAGTACCTTGACTATCGACCTCCACAGCTTGCGCCATAAGATTAGATAAGGCCCCGCCTCAACATAAAACCTATTAAGGCCCTAGGTCAATAATGGGCTATTTCAATACACTAAAACAGGATTGAACTTGAGTTTTCAGTCACAATACCTTAATGTGCGTTTCTTCGTCAGTATGTTAGTCAATAGACTGAGGTCCATCGTTTTTTCTGTTCAGGGATTTATCTGCTGCAAACTGGCAAGCTCAACATGTCGCAGACATTTCAAGGTTGGAGTTGTAGCAGTGGATGTTCACCTCCTCTAAATTGTCGACTGGCTATTTGTACGAACGTTGTATTTCCTCAAACGTTCAGTGGATCAGCAAAGGTAAACGTGTAGAATGACTGAACATCATGGAATGTTTAAATGCTGTTTTATGAAAAACGTTAAAGTATTAAAGTCGTTTGTGCATGTTTTATTAACTGAAAAAGTTAAAACATGTTATAACTTCAACCAGAAGGCTTGCAGTTGTCAAACAAGCAATTTTACGTCTAAAATTTAGTATAGATAATTTTACTAACAAATAAAATTTCTGTTACTAATATTTTAAAATTCTATTTCCCTTAGGTTCAAGTGCATGTGTCAATGAGCCACGGTGAAGAGTTTTCACGTGTTCACTCGCCTTCTGCTGTGTGGGTTCAGTCCATTAGTAAGCGTGGATTTGAGGTCTGTTCACGTCAAACAGGGACTGGATCAAATAAAACTGGAATTATCAACTGGTTGGCCTATCAAAATTATCCAAAAATGATGCATGGCACTGTGACTTTTCAAGGAATGTGGACAACAGAAACCAAGTGTGACAAAGTAACATTCTCACAGGTTAGACACTGGACAAACAGAGAGAAAACCGTACATGTATGAGTCAATGCATTTCCTTGTTAAGATGAGAGTTGATCCCAATTTATTTTTCTGTTTTGACAAGAAAACTTAAAAACAAATTTAGTTACAGAATCCCAAAAAGTATTTTGCAAAAACCTAACCTGAAGTCATGGTTTATAAAACAAGTGGAACTGAAATTCTCATTCTAGCGAACTATCAATACCTCAATTGTAACATAAGTTTGTGTAATTTACAGAGCTTTGCTGGTAGACCTTCTGTGTTTGTCTCAGCTAAGTACGCTCGTAGTACAAAGGCTGATGACGCAATGTACCTTTGGTTGGAAAACGTGAATTCTGGAAGTTTCGAAGTATGCATCCGGGAATTCTTGCCATTTGACGGAAAACACCAAGACATAATTGTGGTACGTGGAATATTTTTAATGTATTTTGAGACTTCAAGAGTTCATTAGTGCAAAGATGTGATTACGAATAAACATTAGGATATTTGCTACAACCATTGTCTTCCGGGGCACTTAGGTATCGCAACATGCTCAAGTGTAGGCCACTCCACTTAAAAGAGCTCTTCTTTACCTGCCGCTAAAATACAACACATTATATTTTGAAGGTAGTTATTTTTAAAAATAAACACTTTAGTTACAATTTAAATTTTCATTTTGCAATTTGTTTGTTTTCCTTAATTCTCTCCGCTTATAAACTTTTGTTCCGTGAATACCGGTTAGCTTTGCTGCTTTTTTTTTAGAATTAATGTCTTTGTTATAATCATCTTAAGGTGGTATGGTACCCTCAAATGGACCAAAAAGTCTGTTTAAATGTGGTGAAGAAAGATCAATTGTGTGCTATTGCACTCAAGAAGAGAAATTAAATTTCTAGAGTTTTAC